CGATAAATGTAGGGAGCACATGGTCCAAATGTTGTTGCCATGGCCAATGGGGTATCTTGAAGGATCAAAGGGAAAAATCGTGGCCGGCAACCAATAATCGTAGCTAGTTCATCCATGAATGGTATATAATCTACCTAAATAATTTAGAAACATAGCGAATAGTCTAATCTTCATAGCTTCTGGGACCAGCTATCAAAGAGCTATACCTGTATGGTATGCCTATGGCTATCCACGTACTGTTTTCGCATTTTTTCTCTCTTTACCATGATGTCCCTTTTCATTTCTGAAACGCTAGGTAGAGTAGCTTCGCCTGACAAGGCAGCAAAGAATACTCGAGCTTGCATCTCCGCTATTGGCATGATTGATCCGAGTGGCTTAAAACTCGAGTTCTCAGTTTATGTAGTGCAGGAAGCGCAGTTGTACTCAGCCGAGCACAACGTTCGCTCAGGTAATTAATTGATAAGTAAACCTGAATCAAACCGATGACAGCGAATGTGTTGTGCGGTTGATCGATCGGAAACATATATTTATAGAGTTCAACTTGGTTGTTGTTTACCTGCAATCACATAGTAATAAATACTCCGGAAAAGCGCGAAGACGGTAAAGGGTTAAACAGAACGACCCACTTTTATCATTTTTCCACTCTCAACGATTGGGAATGTGATGTCATAGCCAGTCGATAGTACAACCTGGAGTACTTTTCTAATTGACTCTATGCTATTACTGTTTATCGCATCTGACTATTCGTCGATGTATCAAACAAATAGATGTAACTGCGCATAATACACTACCGCGTACTAAAATGTAAATATCGGTTGCTTGCGCTGACGTGCTTTAGCCTCCATTGACCAATCAAATCTGGATTCGGTGCTTGATTTGCAGTTGCACCATATGCACGACATTGTTCCGACTTACATAATCGATGTTTTCCGCCCGAGATCCGTCAGTGAAGTAAACGTCGTTTTCAGTGAACTTCTCTATATTCGGCTTGACCACGATAGTGCCACTAGCAAGACGAATCGGCAATTCGTCATTTTGTGTGGTATGTGCACTGTAGTGAGCAATCTGTGATTACACTAACGTATAAAAAATATAAACTGGTTTGATAAGTTGTACATATACCACAATTCATAAGATATTTCTACACTTACCCGAATACGTCATGTTTTGGTTGTAAGCCATATGCAGCATGATCAAAACGGTTATTGATAGTTCTGTGAGCGTGCCATGCTCGAATTGATCGTGGAATTGAGAAAACTGTGTAGTAGGTGAAACGTCTGGACTAGAATACGAAGATTTATTTGAATGGATTGGCTGAGTAGTTTTTGTCATGGCATAGCACGAATCGCTAGATTCAGGAAAGGCAAACATCATGATAGACTTTTGACTTGGCTAATACCACTGTTATCCTCGGGCACGGTGCTACCTAACCTATACAGAAATATTTTTTGCTTGAAATTCAAAGATCCCCACCATGCAGATATCCAGAGGTATACCACGTGTATGCACGCGATTCAATATCCATGCGCCACGGCGAGTAGAGAGGTAGACCTAAAATGTGCGTCCGTTTGTGGTAAAAACCAAGTAATTTTATTTATTA